CAGCTGCTTTGTGGGAAGTGGACACCCTGCCTTTGGCTTTCAGACTGGAACATGGGCAGGGTGAGGGGCTTCCCTTTCTTCTTAAAGAGTGGAGGAGAAAGAAGGCTTTCGGGAATGAACTTGATCAGAAACTTGAGTCCATCTGTCCTTCAGTTTCACTTGGGAATTATATACCTTTGTTCCTAAGGTAAAAACTGGAGATAAATCTGTGCAAGCTCAAATGCTAAGGTGAGGATAAATTTTTAAAAAGTTAAGAGCTTTCTGCTACAGAAGTGATGTTCCTGTTTTACCTTAAAGTGCCAGAAAGCATATAGTGTGGACCACGGATCTGAGAAGGATGGGAAGGTGGAAAGACTATGGCAGTACTTTTTTTAATTTATTTATTTTTTACGAGAGAGAGAGAGAGAGAGAGAGAGAGATTGATGTGAGAGCCAAACATTGATCAGCTGCCTCCTGCATGCTCCTCACAGGGGATCAAGCTGGCAACCTGTACATGTGCCCTGACCTGGAATCGAACTAGCGACCTTTCGGTGCACGGGACAACGCCCAACCAACTGAGCCACACCTACCAGGTCAACAGCAGTACTTTTGAGTGAGCAGGGCTGGCTGGCCCCTGCAGGCTGGGAAGCAAGGCAAGCAGAGACAGAACACTCATTGAGAACCTTACAACAGGGCAGGCACTCAGGTGGAAATGGCACTTTAGTGATAGGTGGCTATCAGAAGGAAGTGCTTTATTTGCATGTTTTTTTGGCTCAGGCAGGTGAAGCGGCTATCAGAAGGAAGTGCTTTATTTGCATGTTTTTTTTTTTGGCTCAGGCAGGTGAAGTGAGGATTGAACAGGGCACCACTCCTGCTCCTTGAGTTCACTGTTCCCATTCACCAAAGCAGTTTCACGATCTCCTAACTATTGCCAACAGTGCCTTCCCTTTGCTAGGAAGATAGAGACGGAGCATGCATTTCATCCTCTAAGTCAGGCCTGACTCAGTGTGAAGGACAAAGAGGGCTGCTAGGCTGAGGAAGGGGGTGGGGGGTAATGCCGTGACCACATGTTTGGTCCAAAGCACCCACGCTCTACTTCCGCCTAGGTTGTTCTCATGCTCAGGGTTCCACAGGAAGGGCTTGCAGGGACCTGTAAATGTTTCACATCTGGCTTTGTCACATCTCTCCTGGCAGAAAAACCTGCTAATTATCCCCAACCAGGGCTGTGAAAGCCGTGAGGCCCACCAGGCTGTGGCCTTTAGCAACTGTTCAGAGTAGCTGAACCCCAGTTTAATTTTAAATTACATTCATTTTGAGACATGAATACCAATCGTGTCTGATCATGGCAAGACAAGCCGAGGAGAGGCAGCCCCAACAGGCAGTGGTTTCTAACATTCCTGGCTGACTTGAAAGGTCAACGCTCATTATGGAATCCGACTGACCGCAACTAAGGGGCAGTG